AAGGCCGTATACGGCGTGGGAACTTTTTGCGTTTGCGAACCAAGTCTGTACAGGCAAGTAATATAAACTCGCTGAACTTCAGAAATGAGCAATTAAGGGATACATTCGTGAGTGGATTTGACCAGTTCACCATGGAAAAGACCGGTAGCAAGCGACTGAACTGTTTACTTTGATTTTTTAAGCCGGTTTGTAACATTGGATAAACCGACATTCAAGCAGCGCGAAAGAACTACTCACATTATGAGGAATTGTCATCAGACGCACTCATTTCCCCATCATTCTATTTAGTATCGTGTGCACTTAATCACTTCGTGTTGTAATGGCGGCAATCAAACTGTTCACTGGACTGGACAGTTCGTTGGCAAACACTTTATGATTACTCATCAAATCGTTATGGAGAATGGCACTTTGAGGATCACCTTGGTTTATCACTGGTAAAGGTGCCGGGCAGTCCTGTCACCTGGTTGACTGACCTGCTGCCTTATCTGTGTACTTGTTCTGGTGGAAGTGAAACTCTCCATTACAACGACAAAAACAAATGGGAACACTCGTAAACAAGTGAATATTCGACTGTCGATTGTACGGTGCATCATTCAGAGCTGGTTTTATCCACTATCGCTGCGGTCAAATCCATAAACGAGCGATGATCATAAATGGAAATGTTGGATATAGTGATTGCCGATTGCTCGTGTCGAATATAGCGCGTGTTCCGCAACAGGCTATATTAATGAAGTGGCCTTAGTTGAGTATCGTCCACTGTAAGTGCACAGAAAGGATGTTTTTGAGTTGCTTGTAGACACAGTTGAAATCGGCCAAAAATTTAATGACCAAGGGCTTTATGCAATTTGTGTTCAAAGTCGAAAAGCTCACGTTCTTTACGCAACGCACTACTCATTTGGTTGCTGAAAAGCATTTGGCAGCATACGAGTACTGTTTTCCGCCAAGAATATTTATTCTGATACCTCGACCATCATACAAACTGAAGCATAGGACCGCCTTCATGTTGCACCTTTAGTAGAAGAATAGCATAAATGAGAAACTCAGCTGGGGTTCAGTTGACTCACGTTATTTTGTTGTTACGCCACTCGAATAGCCTATATTTTCCACGAGGACAGAAAATCGAAATAAATCCATAGGATCAACAGCATTTCACATGAAACAGACAGGAAAGAAGTCTCAGTAAGCTGGTCAGCCAGTAGGTTAAAGATCGCCGAGTAATTAGGAAATGTTGCTTGAATCATATGACGACCCACCGTCCAATACAATGAGATTATTTCATTCTACCAGATGTCTTTTTGTTTTTTTAGGTCTTTTTTATTTTACTGGCCTATAGCCGTAGCTTTTTTGAAGACCGCCGTTATGACTTTCGCCTCATCCTTGATAACACAACGATGAAACGTAGAAAAATGACATTTCGGAGCAAACTAGCCTAGCACATTTACCAAATAGTGGGTTACCTGCAGTAGATGGTCAACAGCTAACATAAATCCGGTTACGATATAATCCTCCACATTTGCAGGACTGTGTTGACAACGACGTCGGATTGACATAAATGTGTCTGTAAATACGCGGCCGTTTTTGCACTGTCTAGATTGTTGCTGCCCCTATTGGAGAACTGAAAAGTATTGTCTCCCTTTGATTGGTCGCAACCAGTGGGAGAAACACGGACACGCATTACAGGAACAGCAACCTTGCTCGCTGTGCCACGGTCGACTTGCGTAACACAATCACGCCCAGGCTGCTGCAACCGGGCAAGCGATACTCTGAGGCTAGTGCACGTATTGGTATTGACATGTGATTGGACCACTCGGTCCACCGGGATTGTCCTGCTCACGTGACCGATTTTCCCTTCACACAGGAACGTGCGCACGGGACTAGGAGACAGACATCAGCCCGGAATGCTCGGCACGACCGTACGCACGAGTGCGCACGTGCACGGGTGACATACTGTAGCCTGGATCATCACCAGGGCTCTTGGCACGACCGAAAACTGATGTTATGCACTCTTAACACTGACCACTGTTCCCCTGCTTTCACTACCGAATAGGTGAATTTTTTTCGACTTCGTGACTGTTAGGGAAACCGAGTTAGAAAAGTGTCGCAGCTCGGACAGCAGAATGAATACGCCGGGGATGATGGATGCACGCACTTTGTGTTGTCTCGTCAGTACCAGGATCAATAAACGGGGCAACTCGTGGGCGGAAAAACCACATTCCTCTACGACCATAAATCCGGCTAATCTCATATTTTACTATTTTTGTTCACCGGCGAAAATTACGCGCCCCTATGTGTGCTGAGGCCACTGCGGTTTATACCTAGACTGTGGCGTGGTTTTTATTCACCCAATAAATCGGTAAGTACGACGGCTGAAGCTTGATTAGGCAACCTTAAACTTGACGGAAGCCATATG